AGAGTGTATTGTTGTATTACATTGTTCTGTTTTTTTTCTTTTTTTATCTTTTCTTGTTTCATTGTATGTAATGGCAGAGATTCGGGATTAATAAAGTACAACCATAACCACAATCGTATAAACATAAATCTGTTTATAGAAATATATTGGGGAGGACATTTTGAGCATATTTCAATATTGGGAGGGGGATGTGTTCCCCTCAATATGTATTATAATTACGGCCTTGCGATGTAGGACCGCAGAGTTTGGGTAATTGTTGACGCCGGTTCTGGCCACAGCCCTGCGCGTCTGTGGTTTCCAGGTGCGGTAAAAGGTGCTCGCTACAAAACCCTGCAGCGGAGTCACGAACTACGACCTGCACGAATAACGCCGCTAACATAAACAATGAAATATTATTTGTTTATTATGTTACTTAGACACAGTGTAATTCTGTGAAATATCATTCGAAGAAAACGTGGCAATATCTGGCGTGTAAATACATGAATGGATACAGATGATGAGTAACGCAAGCTTACGGTCTCTCGTCGACAGCTGGCAGCCATGTCTTCGCATACCTCAACTTCACGAGACGCGCGTACGGTGACTCCTATTTGCACAGAACAGTGTAATGATATTCATTATTAGGTTTTTTTTAATGTAAAAGTCAAGTTGTAGGAAACAAAAGCGCATGGAAAACAATTGAAGCGGTTTTACGTTCTCAACACAAATCACTGAAGCCGTCACGGGCACGTGACGGCCCCAGAGATCAAAGTGGAGAGGATTTAAAATATTATTTTAAAATATTTAAAATATTATTTTGAAATATTTTAACCCGGCAATATCTTCCGTTCCAACTAAAACAAAACGCACCTACATTTCAGTTGTATATACGCGTGTGTATATGGGTCGTCACTTGCTCATATATACTGTATGCACGCACGCACACGTACTTGTAAATATCTCAAACCACCACAGTTAATGAATGCACCCGGCTTTGAGTTGCATCGCAGTCACTTGGCATCACTGCGATCGTAAATCTGTGAGCCGGCTGGTTGGACAGAGGGCACGGGTTATTAGTGCGGAGTTGGCGCTGCGACAAGTGGGAAGACATCGTCATCACCGTCAGCACGCGCGCGCCACTGACGGCAGCCATGCAGGAGGGGCGAGAGCCACGCTGCCCCTAGGGCACTACCAACACATACCCGTGCTCTGCGGACCTCTATATATAAAGGTGTTATTGGTGAATTAATTAACGTTTACATGTAGTAGTAGTAGTCATAATAACCCCCAAATAGAAACTCAGATGTAACATTTTATATCTCTGCTCTCTGGTTTGAATTTGCTTTCTTGCTCGCCGTATCGATGGCCCGAACATCCCAGTGATGTTGGATTCACTCACAGCGGGACTTTCGCAAGGGGTGTTCTCCAGTCGCTGTCCTGCCACAAAGTAACGGACACAGAGTGACCTCGCATTCACACAATGCGCACTCGCCTTCCAAGTCTACACGTCAAGAGTCACGTACTCGGTGGCTCACGGGGGTCCGTGAATCGGTTAATTTGTCAGGCGCGTGGCCAGGACTCGATTTGGATTGGCCAGGAGTGCACTATGCCAAGCACCGCGCCACCGCACGGGAGATGTGCCCGGTTTGGGGATGAAGTGGCAGTTGAGATCAGACCCGAACCGCAGAGAACGAGAAAGCCGTCACCCCGGTTGGACCCTGCATATCATCAGATAATGGGAGGCAGGGTGGCGCTGCAGTGGGAACGCTCGTGTCTCGCCGCTAGAAGAAGCTGAGTTCGGCTCCCGAACGGGGCGAATGTCTGTGCCGAGTCTGCATATTCTCACCCAGTTCTGCACGGGTTTCCTGCGGGCACTCCCTGTTTCCTCCCATAGCTAAATAAACAACATGCAGGGTAACTGGTATTGGCCAAGCCACATCGCAATCTTCTTTGGTTCTTTCGGTAAAGTCACGTAGAATGAGAATAAAATAACACAATTTTAGATCAGAGCCGAACCGCATTTCATTCTCATTCTACGTGACTTTACCGAAAGAACCAAAGAAGATGAATCCTTGCAGTCACGAAAGCTTTAAATCGAAACATCGCAATCCTGAAAAAAGTAACGCTGCAACTTGCTCCATTGGGACTACAGGCAAAGAGCAGCAACGTCGGCCCCGACTGCGAAAGCTTGGCACCACCACCACCACAGAGTTGAGAGACTGGTCGAGGTTTTCCTGGATGAGCAGGCGGCATAGTAACCAGCAAAGTAACCACAACACTCGGACTGAACGAGCCCCTGCCCTGCCTGCTATCGCGCGAGGCCTCTCGAGGGACGTTGCTCTCTGCCGTGCGCGTCACGCCCGCTGGCTCTGTGCAGAGATCGACGCTAAATCGCCTCCGGTACAAAGGTGCGGCTGGAGCTTCGCCCCTCCGCCTCATCCCGCCGCGCTCAGGGCAAGAACTCCGCCTTCCTCTCTGCGCTTTAGTCAAATTGCCTCCGAAGCGAATGACGTTAGTCAGTTGACTTTAGTACCTCTGCTTTCCCGTGTTGGTGCAGGTTATTCGTTTTTAGATTGTGCCTTGTGTCGTCACCATTGGCAATCCTGCAGGGTAGTGCAGGAATCCACCGAGGTCATGCCCCGTACATGACCAAGGGGCACTTGCATATAGTCATTTCCCTGCTGCGTGTGTCCTCTACTGCACGTGCTCCTCTTTCTGCCTCTCAGTGCCATTCCAAGCGCACGCCTCACCGTGCTCCCTTCAAGATGTGGTTTCATTTCCTTTTTCCGTCTCCCTGTCCATAGTCCATCTCTCCTGTCGGGCAATGCGCGCTGTTTGGACGCTGAGAAGAACGTCGTGGCTTTCCAGGGCCCATTCAGGAGTTCTCGCCCCTGTAATCTGCGCAGCCTTGAGCTCTGCTGCCACCCACTGGTCACGGCTCGTCACCGAACTCGGCACGTGTCCATCGTGAAGCAGTCGCAAGGAGTGCATCCCACTGGGATTTTTGCACACAGCGTTGGTGTACGGTGCTATTTCAGGAATATTTTGATGTTTTTTTTCCTGGATTTTCTGTTTGCACAGTCACATAGTCACTTTAAGATGTTTTCTTGTTCATGTTTTTGTTTTTGGTTTGTTGCGGTTGCACCCGATTCAAGAGCCGAATGGCTCACAGGGCTATACCAAATTAATGGAACTATGGAACTATGGGTTAGGGGTTGACCCGGACAGCCTGGCCCTTGGCAGGGTTGAACCGGACAGCCTGGCCCTCGGCTCTTGTGGCCGGGCTGCAGCAGTGAAATGACACAGCGATTGACTCTCATCCCTGGATGGTGATGTCGATGATTGTTTGTAGGTTTTGGGCCAGACAATGTCATCTCCGTGTCTGCAACATCCCGCACCGCCACGCTCTCTTGAGTTGCAATCTCAGTCTCGCATTCCGCCCGCCCCTTTCTCCCACGCCCTTTCGTTTTTCTCGGTTTGAGCCCGGGTCAAGAGGTTCCTCCAGGATGGGGCCCTGCCAGATCCTTGCTGCGCTCCCCCCAACGCGGCGGGAGCGGTACGAGTTGTTTCGAGTTGGAGGTATAATCCACGTGTACTTAGCCGGGTGGCGGTGGTGGCTACTCTGCACGTGGCTACCTGTGATCCTCCAGCGCTGTCAAGGCAGCAGCGAGGGGGTTGGTGGATCACGCACAGATAAGCTGTGAAACTCCCTTCCCGTGGCGCGTCGAGGAGGAGCCGTAGCCTGGCTCACCAGCTAGGCACTACAGCAGGAATGTCGATACAATCGCTGTATCACTGCCACACCGAAGGATGCGTGTAACGTTTTAAAAACGTGATTTTTTTTTGCCCCTAAACGCAAAAGCCTCAACAACAATGCGACAGCTGATGTGTTGAGTTGGCCATGGGGATGGTCATTCTACAGTCGCAGTGTAGCATGAAGAAGGCCGTCTCTCAGCTCGGGTTCGCCTCGAGTTCAGCGACCGAAAGTCTATAGCCCCAGTGTCGCGTATGTGGCAAGTCGATAGTCATGACCTTGGCATTATTTCCAAGCTCGGCCATAATTATAATATGTATTGGGTGGGGGGACACACCCCCTCCCCCAATATTCAAATATGCTCGAAATGTCCCCCCCAATATATTGCTATAAACAATGTTTTAAAAAAATAATTGTTATGCTATGAAAATAAAATCAACAATTTGCTAAACCTCGGCCACAATATCTGGATTTCTGTTTATATGATTGTGGTTATTCTTGTATTTTATTTATCCCTAATCTCTGCCATTACATACAATGAAACAAGAAAAGGTAAAAAAGAAAACATCACAGAGCAATGTAATACAATATTCACTCTTAGACATTGTTGTAAAAAAAAAGTCCATCCTATGTGTTACTGAATTTTTTAAAAAAGATTTTAGGCAGGAAATTTGTTTTCAAATTTAGATTTTTTTTTTCTGTGGGGGGGGGGACCCCGAGACCCCCTGGAAGATTTGGTCCCCCCCCCCAATGTTGACTCCATGGCTACGGCCTTGCTTCCAAGACATCGCGATCAACATTCACAGCGTAAATTCAACGGAGTTCACACAGACTGGTTCGCCTCTTCGACGTAAGAGTGGGCAGGCCGTGTGGCCGAGTGCACGGCTCACCCACCACGCCGCCGCGTGGAGCCACTCACGTCGGACCGCCAGGACGCACCCACAGCCGCTCAACGTCGCCCTGACGTTAGCGCGGTCGGGTTCGAGAGCACCGAGCGCAAACATAACCGCCCTAGCTTCAGCGACGAGAGGCGAGGGGCGCGGCGGGGGCCCTCGAGCCCTCGGCTGGCTCCACTCACGACTCGAGACGAACCCGTTGCGCTGAAATGAACTTACTGCCTTTGTCCTGTGCCCTTCGACGCTTCACGCGGCCTCAAGGTGCATCGAGCTTGTTGGCGAAATCGCGGCGGTTAGCTGTTGCGATGGCCGTCGCTCTCCGTCGCGTTCATTCGTTTTGTTGCTAATGCGGTGGTCCGTCCGTCTGCCAGGTGGCCCAGGCACGTGCTGAGGAAGGGTTACAAGCACCGCATCGAGCGCTCGGACATCCACCGGACTCCCCAGCAGGATCAGGCGGACACGCTCTCCGAGAGGCTCGAGAGGTCGGCCCTGCACTCGGCCCCTTGTCGAGGACGAGGCGTCAACGGGCGAGCCGCACTCTGCCGATGGGACGATGAACGTCGAACCCGGTCCAGAGTTTTAGCTCGCGTTGAACCAATACCGCGGAAATATTTTGACTCCCGGCAAGGCTGTGTGGCTGCAGGGATGCGTAAAACATGACGTGGAGGTGACAGATATGATGAGGAGGAGACATGTTGCTGCTTATAAATGACGTCACGAGATTTTGGACGATTTTTGCCCCCCCCTCCCCCCCTTCGTCACACGGCGTCACAAAAAATCAGACACCCCCCTCTAATATGACGTCACAAAGCTCTGCCCCCCCCAAAATATATAAACATGCTTCAAATCGCTTTAAACTATTGTCATTGTAGTGTGTATTTTATGTGGCGCTGCACTGTGATGTTGTAGGAGAAAATTTTTACAGTATTAAAAAAAGGTCTATTTAATTAAGTAGAACGCGTTGTCTAAAGTTGCGCATTTTGATGCGACGTCACATTTCTCAGCCCCCCCCCTTCCTCGTCACACATCGTCACAAATGTCTGACCACCCCCCCCCCCCCCCCAGGTGCGTGACGTCATTTATGGACGGCCCCTGATTGCATTTTCCACAACGGCGCTGGCAATGATTTGGTGCTCCGTACTGCTTACTTTTGTGTCGACCACGACCGATGACGACGATGGTCGATGATCCGACTTGAACGCTCCCCTCTCTGTTCGCCCGCCAGGGAGTGGGACAGAGAAATCTCGCAGTCAGAAAACCGCCCCCACCTGCTCACCGCGATTCGGCGGTGCTTCCTGTGGCGCTTCGTGGGCCTGGGAGTCATCATGCTCCTCGCGGTGAGCGGAGGGCCCTGTTGGCACCGTGCTTGTGTCAACCAACCAATCTTTATCTCCACACACATATATAAAAGGCAAAGTTGTGAATACGCGTGTCTGTTCAAAATGTTTAGCGTACTTCCCAACATGCAACAAACTGGAAATTTGCCATGTGGGTACTTTCCAGACTGTACACCATGCAAAAACTATAAAAATAGACTTTTGTATATATTTTTTTTGGGGGGGGGGGGGGGGGAGCTCAATAATGCATATTTCATTTGCACGGCAAGTGAGCTGTGACGTCAAATATGTCACATGACCCGCGCATGTGCAAGCGTAACGTATTGTAGTGTAGCGGTTAGCGCGCCGCGCTGTGAACCCGGCGACCCGAGTTCGATTCCCGCTCACCACCGGTGACGATTATTTGAACCGCTTCTGGGCCTCCCCTAGGTCGACTCAGACTCAAACGAGTAACTGTTGTGATGTGAACATCGCCACTGGGGAGACAAAGGCGGCCGCCCGTGGTGAATCCAAGTCCCGGGCGAAGCCAGGTAGTACAGCTAGTTAATAATAAAGGTTTTTGGGTTAGATCGCGTTATTTATAAATGTGTCGCAACCCTCTACCACCCGACACGGCCAATCATAAAAAAATGCGTCACGTTGACAACAGACAAAATAGTTCACTACTTTAGCCCACCGGTGTATTGAAGAGCGAATCCATAACATTTACAATTTGAGTACATCAATGCACATTACAGCAGAACGGGAACGCTACCGGGGCATGCCATTTAGAGCACCAAATCAAGCGTGTCTGTAAGAGGCTACAACACAATGTGGATTTGTTAATCATCAGTTGCTATCATCGCCATTATAATATTCCCTGCGTTTCGATTCCACTCTATTCTCACGTGTGGTGGCAGCAGCAGCAGCAGCAGCGCTGTGGTTCAGGAGCTCATTGCCAATGGGGAGGTCCTGCCGCTGCTGCTGGCCACGACGAGAAGGCTTCAGCAGAGAGAGTCGGTGGAGTTCTTGTTGCTGCTGCTACTTTGTTGAGCGAGCGCAGACCGCACTGGTCCACTGTTCGTGGTGTCCCGTGCCCCTTTAGGACGTTGCAAGTCGTACGGTGTCGTTGCGAATGAATGACGCTGTTATATAACATAACAATCGCACGTTTACATCAAGTTAACCGCAAATTCAAATTTGGCAGCAACGACATCGTAATCGTCATCATTACCCCGCGCACTTTCTGACTGGACCTTGAATTACAAAAAAATGAACATGAGAAATAAAAACGCGCGATTTGATCGTGAATTAAAAGATGTCGCTGTGAACGACATTGCCCGAGTTTCACGCAGAGTCTTGGCGACGTGCCACGCTCCTCCGCCGCGTCCCTCAGGAATTCACCAAGGTGGTGCAGCCCTTCTTCCTGGGCCAGATCATCGCCTCCTTCAACCCGAGTACCGTGGACGTGCAGGAGCCGCTGCTGCTGGCGCTGGGGCTGAGCGCGTGCTTCGTCGTGAGAACGCTGCTGCTGCACCCCGCCGTGTTCGGGCTCCAGCACCTGGGTATGGACGTGCGGATTGCCACCTTCTGCCTCATTTACAAGAAGGTGCGCACGGCGGCGGCGGGCCCCCTCCCTTGGCGTGGGGGGCGTGACGCGTGTGCCCCCCCCCCCCGATGGCCCCGGAGCCGAGGGTCGGTGGATCACGAGTAGATTTGTGGGTGGGAAGAGGAGGGGGTTACAAGGTGGCCCGGAGATGGCAGCACAGCAAACGCGTGTTTTTGAAGCCGTATCAGAGTTTGCATGTCCTCCCTCTGGTCTGCGAGAATGTCGCCTGGATTCTCCCATGTCTTCCCAAAGCTACAGAACAAACACGTAAACCAAATGCAATGTCACCGGTATTGGCCGAACATCCCAGTGCTAAAAATGGCATGCAAATTACGCAATTGGGATCACACACAATAGCATCATCGCCCGCTATTGCAAAGCTTGACACTCTCCGGGGTCGACAAGGTTAACGACGACGATAATAATACAATAGAAAATTAAATAAAACATAAAATCAAAGGGAAGCGATAAATGTAACAAAGGGCTTAGTGATGTTTGATCTTTGCTCCGGTTTTACTGACCTTATCGTTGAGGCATGACCTCACGAGGCAGCTGTGAGGATTTTATGGCAGTCAGCGTTGGTGGCTGTAAACCTCTGCAAACGGTGGCAATTGCACCCCCTCTCTGCGGTGTTTTCGCTGCACACTTGAACCGAGCGTCTGATCTCTGCGAAGGGAGAAGCAGGCGTGGCAGCGCTGATTCGTCGCAGGCCGACGTCCCCACGTCGGCCGAGTCGTGCCGTCCTCGGCCACTTGCTCCTCGTCCGTCCAGACGGCCAATGTCGGCAGCGAGCCGGCGCGCGGCCAGTCCCGCTGTGCCCGTGAGGCGGCACTCAGTCGAGAGCAGACAATGGGCGTTCGTTCGGGACCTGGGTTGATATCTGGATTGATGTCTGCCCGGCGGTTATGAACCAGATCAATTGTGAGGCGCATCGCCAGGTAGAGAATGGTTCGTTTTGAGGGGCTTTAGAGATCCCGCCCGTCGCCTCTCCTCCTCCCGATATTCTCTCACCTTATTCTTAGCTCTTTCGGCAAAGTCACGTTGAAGGGAAACAATAAAATAATAAAATATATATAAAACAATAAAAATTCTCACGACGTTTCGACCATAACACAAACGGTCATCATCAGGTGTGAAAACCAACGGCAAGAAACATTTGAAAGAAGTGGCGGTTTGCATTTATTGATTTATTTTAAACGGTGTTTGTATTTGTTTATTTTTTGTTTAAAACGTTAGCACCACGGGCAGCGATTTGGCAGTTTGTTTAGAAGGACGAGTCCATCTATGTTCTGAAAAGAAGAGGGGGGAGACGAAAAAATAATGTATGCTGTCTGAAAGCCACCGTAAGCGTGAACAGGGTACTGGTGTCTACAAACTTAGTTTGTAGACACCAGTACCCTGGTGTCTACAAACTAAGTTGCCTCTGTGGTAGTAGTTACATTGGAGAAACCAAACGCCATGTCTCGGACCGCATTCGTGAACACAAAGCAGACCTTAAACACGGTAGGACCATCACGTCGGCCGTGGCAGATCATTGTTATAATTCAGTAGGCTCACATGACATTGACTTCTCCAAGAAGTCAAAGCCATCTGGCTACCATGAGAGATTCGTTGATGAGGCTATCCACATATACAAGCACAGAGACAATTTAAACGAGAAGATGGATTCTGGCTTAGCAATCATTGGAAGGATTTGATCAACCATTTCAGGTCTTAATTAATTGTTCACGTTTACGGTGGCTTTCAGACAGCATACATTAATTTTCGTCTCCCCCCTCTTCTTTTCAGAACATAGATGGACTCGTCCTTCTAAACAAACTGCCAAATCGCTGCCCGTGGTGCTAACGTTTTTTTAAAATAAATGAAAACGAGCACCTTTTAAATAAATAAATAAATGCAAACCGCCACTTCTTTCAAATGTTTCTTGCCGTTGGTTTTCACACCGTTTGTGTTATGGTCGAAACGTCGTGAGAACTTTTATTGTTTTATATATTTTTTATTATTTTATTGTTTCCCTTCAACGTGACTTTACCGAAAGAGCTAAGAATATAAATTACTGCAGTCACGAAAGGTTTAAATCAAAATTTCTCTCACCTTGCTCAATCCAAGAAACGTGTTCACCCTCCTTTCTGTGACAATGCTGACAGAGCTGTTTGTTGCTGGCCGCTCGGCGTTTTTTGGGCCCTTTGAGCCATGTGCTCAGCATCGGGATGTTTAGCGAATTCACTCTACTGTATTCGTGCGGGTTGTTGTTAATGAGCACCTGGGGATGAACTGTGGAGTCAAGATTAACGACCCACGCCTACGAGGGGACAGCTATGACAAGGTCCACAGGGACGGGTTCACGGAACACTTTTGCCGTGGCGTCCTCTGCTGGCCACCTCCCAGCCCCGGCGGATTTGGAAGTTTCACAAATCTGGATTTGAAGTTTTCGTGACTGCAGGGATCCATACTCTTTGGTTCTTTCGGTAAAATGTTTTTTCTTGCTGTGGTTTTCCCACCTGATGATGATTGCTTGAGTTGCAGTCGAAACGTCGTGATTCATTTTATACCTACGTGACTTTACCAAAAGAACCAAAGAGTATGTCACAAATCTCTTCGTGATCCCCTTGCTCGGGTTTGGTTCCGCACGCGACGCGCGATCCACGTCGTTTGTGCTAACACAACCACAGTGATTGATCGCCACGGGACAGGCACACACACGCACACGCTGTTCTAACATCGCCGTACCCTCGCAGATCATGAAGCTCTCAAGCAGCGTCTTGGATAAGATCACCGTGGGACAGCTGGTCAGCTTGCTGTCGAACAACCTGAACAAGTTTGATGAGGTATGGACCTCTTCGTTAGCCTCTCAGGGTCGTGGTGACATCCTCATGAGATGGATGGCTGTGATTCCCGTGAGCCATTTGCCATGTTCATGGTGATGGAGGAACCTTCTCCAACTCCTGTTTGCTATGTAAGTGTGTCATCTCTAATGGCATGACACTGGTGGACAGACAGGAGGAGTGTACTGGGGTTAGACAATGTGCAAGTGCTAGACGTGTCATGCCGACTGTCAATCAGAGCAGCCAGGCACTGACACAACAGGTAGCGAGAATAGTTGATGGGCGAGACGCGCCAGAGAGTACGTCCACCGCGGAGATGGAGCAATGAAATCGATGGACACGTGCGTAGAAAACGCACGATGACGCACATACAGACATTTAAATCTGTCGCGTATGCAGAATGCCTTGAATATTGCTCGTAGCCACGCACGTAAACACCCACGGCTCAGTAGTGCACAACCGCCCATTCGTGTGAATGCACCACAGCTGTAACAATCTCAGCGGTCGGGAATCAAACTCAGGCGAGTGGCGGCGCCAACAGCGGCCGTCCCCCTCCACCGGAGAGGTACCGTCCATAAGTGACGTCACGCACCGAGGGGGTGGGGGTCAGACATTTGTGACGATGTGTGACGATGGGGGGGGGGGGTGAGAAATGTGACGTCACATCAAAATGCGCAACTTTAAATAAATATAGACAAACACGTTCTACTTAATTAAATATACTTTTTAAGAAATGTTTTATCCTACAACATCAGAGTGCAGCACCACATTAAATACGCACTACAATGACAATAGTTTAAAGCGATTTGAAGCACGTTTTATTTTTTTTGGCGGGGGGGGGGCAGAGCTTTGTGACGTCATATTTGAGGGGGGGGTCTGACTTTTTGTGACGCCGTGTGACGAAGGGGGGGGGGGGGTTCAAAAATCGTCCAAAATCGCGTGACGTCATTCGCCGGGCATGGCCGCTGGGGCAGGCGCCGTCAAAGATGGCGCAGGTGGTGCCCACCGGCTGCGCTAATTATAGCAAGACAAAGATCCCCCGTGTAGCCTTAACAGACTGTTGTGGCAAGTGCTGTTAGCGAGCACCGATGTTGGCCGTGAACGGGAATCGAACTCCGGTCACCAGGTTCGTAGCGCAGCGCGCTGACCGCTACACTACCGCTAAATGTCACAGTGATATCACCAATACCCTTGTAACACGACTACATTACTGTTTTTGTATTTGTCACTCCACTTGTTTAAGCAGGCAAGACTCACCATGTCTCAAGACCTTTTTAGGAGGGTCCTGCTCAGTTTTCACAGTAGGGGACGATGATCGCTTTATGCAATCCCAATGAAGTAAATTGTGATTAACCCGGTGACCTGGGTTCAATTCCAGGCCACGGCTAACATCAATGATATCTGAATCGGCCCCACACTGTGACCAGTGTGGTGATGTATGGCCAAACAGCGACATGGCGCGGGGAGGCCTTCGTCCAGCAGTGTTTCGACAAATTCCTGAGCTGTTTGACGTCGTCGTTTTATTCTGCATGACCACCACGTGGCAGTGGCGCGCCGGCACACAGCGGTAACGCGCGTGCACGTGTCGCCTGCAGAGCCTGACCCAGGCCCACTTCATCTGGATCGCGCCAATACAGTGCGTGGGCTTGCTGGCCTTCCTATGGCGAGAGCTGGGGCCCTTCTGCCTCGTGGGATTCGCCATTCTGCTGATCGTGACGCTGCTCCAGGCGTGGCTGGGCCACAAGATCAACTCCTACAGGTGAGGGGTGGTGATCCGCCGTGGGCATACTCTTCTGGCCTGCCAGGGAGTCGTGGCAGCGCAGCAAGTAGGTTCATTTCCATATGTGCCCCGTCTGTACGGGGATTGAGCGAGGGGCGGCGCGCGTCCATTCACTTTCAGAGACAAGCGCGGAGGGAAGATCAACGAGCGCATCGCCCTCACGTCGGAGGTGCTCGAGAACATCGAGGCCATCAAAGTGCACGGCTGGGAAGAGGCCATGGGGAAGCTCATCGACGAGCTGCGCAAGTAGGTGGCGCCACACCGACACGGACGCGGCGCGCGTGCCCTTCGGCCGTCCGGCCATCGGCGCAACCAGAGGCAGGCTCCATACTCTTTGGTTCTATTCGGTAAAGTCACGTAGGTAAAAAATAAAACAACTAAAATCATGTTGTTTTATTTTTTACCTACGCGACTTTACCTAATAGAGCCAAAGAGTATGGATCCTTGCAGTCACGAAAGCTTCAAATCTAGAACAGAGGCAGGCTGTTCGATTCGTTCGAGTGACCGATTTAATGTCCCCATGTGAGGCTCACAGTCACCGATGGACTGCAGAGTAGTGGCAGACATCGTCACAGTCCCTAGGGTGCTAGAGCGTTAATGCGACAAACCCAGAGAGCCAGACTAATGCACCTTACCATTCTTGTGGTTCCGTGTTGATGCCTGCAGCTAAGAGAGCCAGCCGAAGGCACCTGTAGGACTGTTAGGGTTAAGACAGAGGCACCTGTGCGCTTACCCAGGGTCCGGCAGTAATGCCCAAAAGGCAGAAGAGCCGGGCTATGCCGCGGGGGCACCACGGGGACCTCGTGGTGACGGCCCTCCCACACCCCCACCACCCCCCCCCCCCACTCCCCCCAGGCAGGAGCTGAAGCTGACGAGCAGAGCCTCCTACAGCAGATACTTCAACAGCGCGGCGTTCTTCTTCTCGGGCGTGTTCGTCGTGTTCGCCTCCATCCTGCCGTACGCCGTGTACAACGAGCTCACGCTGCGCCGGGTGCTCACCTCCGTCAGCTTCTTCAACGTCCTGCGCATGGCCATCACCAGGTCGCTGCCGTGGTCGCTACAGATGTGGGTCGATGCGACCGCCTCCATTCGAAAGATCCAGGTACCTCGTCCTCTCCGAGTGAAGGATCCAGGTCCCTCCTCCTCTCCGAGTGAAAGATCCAGGTCCCTCCTCCTCTCGGAGTGAAAGATCCAGGTCCCTCCTCCTCTCGGAGTGAAAGATCCAGGTCCCTACTCCTCTCCGAGTGAAAGATCCAGGTCCCTTCTCCTCTCCAAGTGAAAGATCCAGGTCCCTCCTCTGATCCGAGTGAAAGATCCAGGTCCCTCCTCCGCTCCGAGTGAAAGATCCAGGTCCCTCCTCTGCTCTGAGTGAACGGTCCAGGTCCCTCCTCCACTCCGAGTGAACGATCCAGGTCCCTCCTCCTCTCCGAGTGAAAGATCCAGGTCCCTCCTCCTCTCCGAGTGAAAGATCCAGGTCCCTCCTCCTCTCTGAATGAAAGATCAAGGTCCCTCCTCCTCTCCGAGTGAAAGATCCAGGTCCCTCCTCCGCTCCAAGTGAAAGATCCAGGTCCCTCCTCCACTCTGAATGAAAGATCCAGGTCCCTCCTCCGCTCCAAGTGAAAGATCCAGGTCCCTGCTCCTCTCCGAGTGAAAGATCCAGGTCCCTCCTCCTCTCTGAGTGAAAGATCCAGGTCCCTCCTCCTCTCCGAGTGAAAGATCCAGCTCCCTCCTCTCTAAGTGAAAGATCCAGGTCCCTCCTCCTCTCCGAGTGAAAGATCCAGGTCCCTCCTCCGCTCCGAGTGCATGCAGCGACTAGTGGAGTGTCCGTTTGCCACTTTTGATCCGGCTTTTTTTGATAAATGACTTCACGAGGTGTGACGTGGCCGTGAGATAGACGTCCTTTGCGAGAGGGAACGTCTGTCTTCGATGAGGCCATTGTCCATCTTGCATCGCGCAGCCACCGCGTGAACATCGGTGCGATCGGGTGGCCAAACCAGCCAGGGACAATACATCATGATGGTGATTGGCCTGATATAAAACCTCGTCGTTCGTGCAAATCGCATCTCTTACAATTGCAGAGGGGCCACGGACGAAGCTGGGAGGCAGCAGAATAATGGGGACTCGATGGTGTGTGCACTCGTTTCAGGATTTCCTGTTGCTGAAGGAGTACCGTCCGCTCGACTACAACCTCTCCACCACCGAGGTGGAGATCGTGTCCATCACGGCGTCGTGGGATCAGGTGAGCGCCGCCACCATGGTGATGTCTTCTTTATCGTTGGTGAGATTGTGATCGTCCGTTTGATGACACGGAGGGAACGTTCAGGGGTTGTTGGCTGAGGCGCCCAGCTGACACCTCCCGGTGGTTCACGCAGGGGCTAGGCACAGGGTTCAAAGGCCCAACGAATCTCGCGGCCAGCAACAAACAGCACTGTTATAACAGTTGTATTAGATGAGTGTAAAATACTTTTCTTGAAGTGAGCAAGGCTACTTAAGGGCTTGGGGGGAAAAAGACGACGATGATGATGATGGAATAAAATAAAATAAATCACGACGTTTCGCTTGCCCATTGCCACATATATATCCTTGTTGTAGCCGCTCTCTCGTTAGTCCAGCAGTTCCACTGCTGGATTATTTGTTTCCGCCTGAGGATGACCGCTTGTGTTGTGATCGAAACGTCGTATTTCGTTGTATTTTCTACCTACGTGACTTTACCGAAAGAACCAAAGAATATGGATTCCTGCAGTCACGAAAGCTTCAAATCTAGATTGATGATGATGATGGAAGAGAAGGAATTTCGAAGTGAAGCGGTGCGAGGGAAGAAGCAGAAAGAGAAGTGAGCTGTTCGGCAGTGTGGTGATCGAGTGTGTGGGCGAGTGGTGCGATACAGCACTTTGTTTCCCTGTTGCATGCAGCAGTCTCGATGATTGCCGTCGATTCGCAGATTGATGGAATAGTCCCCGAGCAAGGAAGCAAGGTGAAGAACGGAATCATCAACGTGGCCGCCACCGATCTGCCTTTCTACAAGTCGTACGTCCTGTCGGACATCAACTTCAAGCTGAACAAGGGAGAGATGCTCATCGTCATGGGTTCCTTCGGCTCGGGCAAGGTAAGTCGCCCGTCTCAGGCACTTCACCTCCCTCAAAGTGCACCTCTGCTGAATTATAACAAACCGAGATTGAAGACTTTGTCCCCCCCCCACTCCTTTTCCTGATGACGACCGCTTGTGTTGCGATCGAAACGTCGTAGTTTTTTTGTTATTTTCTTTGAACCTATCTATGTGACTTTACCAAAAGGCCCAAAGAATACGAATGAATGCAGTCACGAAAGCTTTAAGTCAAGATCTAAGCAAAATACTGCTTCTCAACTTCCGCAAGGAGCGGTTGGAAGCTGCCGCCTCTGTCGAAGAGTCCGGGCTCTCGCGAGGGGGGCTGCTGACGGTCGCCTTTATTCCCACGGCCTTCATGATGAACACCAACAGTGGTCTCCTCTCCCGCCCCTTGCCTGCTCTCTCCCGAGCCCTTTTTCGAGAAAGTTCTGTCCGCCGTTGCAACTGTAACCAGGGTGCGAATTGTAAAAAAACAACTAATTATAAAATCAAACCCTGTGACAGAGACCCGCCGGCATATGGAAGGGTTCTGCGCACGGCTCGGCGAGCCCGGTGGCGTGGCTACGGCGGGTAGCGCACGAGCAGGAAAGCAGCAGGAAACGAACGCCAACGTCACTTGCCCCAACGGTCAGTTGAGGCTACGTGGGGGGACCTTCGTCTGTGCGCGCAGAGCTCGCTGCTGCTGCTCATGCTGGGGGAGCTGCTGCCGTGGGACGGGCGAGTGCGCCACAGCGGCCGCCTCTCCTTCTCCTCCCAGCAGCCGTGGATTATCAACGCCTCCGTGCAGGAGAACATCACCCTCGGCCTGCACTTGGACAAGGCCCTCCTCTGGCAGGTGCTGCGCTCCTGTGGCCTGCAAGAGGTGAGCTCCGCTCATTTACTGCCCGTGCTGACCGTCCGCTTGCATGGGCCTTCATCAATCCACTGCTGGATGAAGGCCCAAGGGTCGCCACCTATCCCGGTTGGATCCGGAGAGCCCAGGAATGGGCATCGGTGTTGGGGTGGCAAGAGTTGATCCGTGCCGAGATCTGGTACGGGTGTCGTAGGGTACCGCACGGGTTTGAGTCTAGACCTGGGCCGACTGAGAAACTTGTCCAGGCTTGGACTCCAGTGGAAACAGTGGCGGCCATACATGATGGCTTCCCCATGTCGTGTTGATCAGTTGCTTGATCCATACTTCACCACACTGGTGCTTGTTGGTGAAGGGTGGGCGGCCAGGGACATTTCACGATACCCACCACCACGAATCGGAATTAGGTCGCCTGGTTTGTAGGGCTGTGCATGACCTGCTGTACCACGGGTAGGGAGTCCATCATGCAGAAGTGGATTGATAAAGGGTTATTATTATAATTACCTAGCCTTTTAAACCCAAAGTATAATTGTTACTGATAATGTTGAGAGTCGCTGCCGGATGATCTTGCCAAGTCATCGTACCAGGTCATCGTGCTGGGTCACCGTGCCGAGCAACCACGTGCTGGGTGTGGATGGACGTTCCTGAACGGTCTCTTTTGTTGCTTTAGGAAATCATGAATCTGCCTCAGAAGGAGAAGACGCTGATTGGGGAGAGTGGCTTCAACCTCAGCGGTGGGCAGAGAGCGCGCATCTCGCTTGCCAGGTCCGCACGCCCACCTCTCAAACCGCTGTACGGTCGTGAAAAATCCACTCACGTGTCACTTTCGGGCCTCCGTTGATGCGGCAGGGTGAGGCTGGGTGAGGCTGGCTGAGGCTGGGTTGAGGCTGGGTGAGGCTGGGTTGAGACTGGGTGAGGATGGGTGAGGATGGATGAGGCTGGATGAGGCTGGGTTGAGGCTGAGTGAGGCTGGGTTGAGGCTGAGTGAGGCTGGGTGAGGATGGGTGAGGATGGATGAGGCTGGATGAGGCTGGGTTGAGGCTGGCTGAGGCTGGGTTGAGGCTGAGTGAGGCTGGGTGAGGATGGGTGAGGATGGATGAGGCTGGATGAGGCTGGGTTGAGGCTGGGTGAGGCTGGGTTGAGGCTGAGTGAGGCTGGGTGAGGATGGGTGAGGATGGATGAGGCTGGATGAGGCTGGGTTGAGGCTGGGTGAGGCTGGGTGCACAGAGCTCGATCCTGAGTCCAGGGCGCCAGGCCAGCACCTCTGAGATCCTAGGTTTAAATCCAAGCAGCGGGCCTGTGATGATTAAACTGGCTTCTAAAATTCAGAGAGTTGATGGTCTCAGCCTAGTCACAAACAATCACGCTAAAACCACTTGTCGTAGTAAATCTGCTTCTTTCATTGGCCAAAAATTCCAGCTCTGATAATTAATGTACCGATTTGGTTTATCTGCAACGAGCACTGCTTGCGAGGTGCCTGGTGTGGGTTCCAGAAGCACTCACAGGGACCTCAGAAGGGCGACGCCTTCCAGAGGCTGTCCGCGATCATGCGTTGGTGTCACGTGGCGAGCGGTGCACCGAGAGTCGCGATCGGCCCCGCACGGCAATGCGCCACGGGTGGACCCGCGGTGTGAGGGGTGACGACGATGATGCTTGTCACGACCAAGGCGACGGGATGTTATGAGTGACTGTGCTGCCCCTTTTGTCCTCTGCCTAGGGCCGTGTACAGAGAGGCAGATCTCTATTTGCTCGACTCTCCATTCAGCTACCTCGATGTGTCAACAGAAAAGCAAGTCTTCGAGAGGTGAACTTACGGGAAAATTATTAAACGCTCCGTTTGCTGCGTAACTTGCGTCTGTCGATCATTCGCCTAACGCGGCGCGCGGGATCCTTGCCAACAGCTGCATCGACGGCTTCCTGGCTAAGAAGACGCGCATCCTGGTGACGTCCAAAGTCGAGCACCTGCAGAGGGCGGACAAGGTTCTGATTCTGAACGACGGAGTCGTTTACTTCTACGGCACGTTCCCCGAGCTGCAGAAGAGCAAGCTGGAGATCCTGTCGCTCATCCTGCAGGCGGAGCGCTTCGACAGCTGCAGCTCCGATCGCCGCGGCTCCATGATCACGGGCGTGCTGCGCCGTGGCTCCACGCATTCCGGTGACGTGGCGACGCCGCCCAACACCGCCAGCGTCGCGGAGCCGCCCCAGGGGACGCAGTTCCCGTTCCAGGCCCAGCGGTTCTCCGTCGTCTCCGCCGGGGCGTCCGTCGTCGTCGCGATCCCGACGGCCGGCCCGCACGAGCCCGAGGATCGCCGGCTGTCGCTCATCCCGGATACGGAGGATGGGAAGCAGCTGCTGCCCGCCGCCGGCGCGGGGCCCCTGCACGCCAGCAAGCGCAGGAAGTCGGTGCTGCACCTCATGTTGGGCGTGTCGGCCGGCTACGAGAACACGCGGCGCATGGCGCGCATCCAGCAGCACGCCCCGCACGGCGACCCCTTCCTGCTGCCCAGCGTCGTGCCCCAGAGGCCCCCCCGGAAGTCGCTCACCAGCGTGGCGGAAGAGAGCGACGACGTTCCGGAAGACGACAACATCAAGGTGAGCGAAATGTCGCCGTTCATTGTGGATCGTGCACGGGTCCCGAGGCGCAAAAACGTCAAGCGGCCGGCAACAAACAGCGCAAAATAGATATCCAGTTAATTATTCATTTGCAAGTGGCGCGTGTGCGGTGCTACCCCAGGACTGCTTTGTGGACGTGGACGGCGAGGAGGGGGAGCTGGCGAGCTGGACGACGTACCGCCGCTACTTCGGCAGCAGCACGCTCTTTGGCATCGTGCTGTGCCTCAACCTGGTGCTCTTCGCGATCCAGGTACGGCCACGCCACGGCTACCAAACCACGGCTAACATTCCACGGCGTGGCTATGCCACGGCTGCCCGCGAGGTCGACCGGGTTCTCCAGCGCAGCGTCTCAGTCCAGTCACCGATGACTGCACGGAAAAACATGAGAATCTGTTTTTTAATGTAATATGGATAAAAATGTAACAGCACTCCCGCTTGGCCATTACACACTGTCCATTGTGGTAATAATTAAAACGTGTTCCTGTCTATTGATACATATTCTCCTCACAGGTCATGGTGTACGGAGTGGGACTATGGAACCTGCGGAGGTGAGTCCTGTGATGCATGTTCCGTAGAAACTTTTTCCTTCTGCAGTGCTGTGATTCCGCGTTCGTAATTAGCGCAATTTGGTGCCTTTGAGATGCAAATTTATGCTTCTTCCCTCACACTGCTCCATTAAGGAGTTCCCTCTCCCATCATCATCATCTTCTCTTTTCCCGCAAGCACTTACAATTATTGCCTCGCACAAATCAAGAAAATGTTTGCACTCTGATCTATTACGGTGCTGTTTGTTGCTGGATGCTTGAGTTTTTGGGCCTTGTGGGCCAGTGCTCACCTCTCATACTTCTTAGCCTCTTGCATGCCATGCGGTTTGCCTGAAGACCGACTTGATGTGTGATGCATAACGTTCATAACGATTCATACTTTACACCGTGAGAGACTGCATCACGTTCCGATTGGAACCGGCAGTCGGTCTCCTTACGCTATTTGTAATATGCGAAGTCCTTGCTCAATGTGTGGTGTTCACACAACGCGTTTTTGCTATAATGTGCTTCTTCCATTAGTAAAGCACCGATATAACACAGAACACGCACCGCTATAACGTGAAACATGCACCGCTATAATGTGGAACATGCACCGCTATAACACAGAACACGCACCGCTATAACGTGGAACACGCATCGCTATAACGTGGAACACGCACCGCTATAACACAGAACACGCACCACTATAACACAGAACACGCACCGCTATAACACAGAACACGCACCGCTATAACGTGGAACATGCACCGCTATAACGTGGAACACGCACCGCTATAACACAGAACACGCACCGCTATAACGTGGAACACGCACCGCTATAACACAGAACACGCACCGCTATAACGTGGAACATGCACCGCTATAACGTGGAACACGCACCGCTATAACACAGAACACGCACCGCTATAACGTGGAACACGCACCGCTATAATGCGGAACACGCACCGCTATAATCTGGAACACGCACCACTATAATGTGGAACACGCACCGCTATAATGTGGAACACGCACCGCTATAACACAGAACACGCACCGCTATAACGTGGAACACGCATCGCTATAACGTGGAACACGCACCGCTATAACACAGAACACGTACCGCTATAACGTGGAACACGCACCGCTATAACACAGAACACGCACCACTATAACGTGGAACACGCACCGCTATAACACAGAACACGCACCACTATAACACAGAACACGCACCGCTATAATGTGGAACATGCACCGCTATAACACAGAACACGCACCGGTATAACACAACACGCACCGCTATAACACAGAACACGCACCGCTATAACGCGGAACACGCACCGCTATAACACAGAACACGCACCGCTATAACACAGAACACGCACCGCTATAACGCGGAACACGCACCGCTATAACACAGAACACGCACCGCTATAACGTGGAACACGCACCGCTATAACACAGAACACGCACCGCTATAATGTGGAACATGCACTGCTATAACACAGAACACGCACCGCTATAATGTGGAACATGCACCGCTATAACACAGAACACGCACCGGTATAACACAACACGCACCGCTATAACACAGAACACGCACCGCTATAACGCGGAACACGCACCGCTATAACACAGAACACGCACCGCTATAACACAGAACACGCACCGCTATAACGCGGAACACGCACCGCTATAACACAGAACACGCACCGCTATAACGTGGAACACGCACCGCTATAACACAGAACACGCACCGCTATAATGTGGAACATGCACTGCTATAACACAGAACACGCACCGGTATAACACAACACGCACCGCTATAACACAGAACACGCACCGCTATAACGCAGAACACGCACCGCTATAACACAGAACACGCACCGCTATAACACAGAACACGCACCGCTATAACGCGGAACACGCACCGCTATAACACAGAACACGCACCGCTATAACGTGGAACACGCACCGCTATAACACAGAACACGCACCGCTATAACACAGAACACGCACCGCTATAACGCGGAACACGCACCGCTATAACACAGAACACGCACCGCTATAACGTGGAACACGCACCGCTATAACACAGAACACGCACCGCTATAATGTGGAACATGCACCGCTATAACACAGAACACGCACCGGTATAACACAACACGCACCGCTATAACACAGAACACGCACCGCTATAACGCGGAACACGCACCGCTATAACACAGAACACGCACCGCTATAACACAGAACACGCACCGCTATAACGCGGAACACGCACCACTATAACACAGAACACGCACCGCTATAACGTGGAACACGCACCGCTATAACACAGAACACGCACCGCTATAACACAGAACACGCACCGCTATAACACAGAACACGCACCGCTATAACGTGGAACACGCACCGCTATAACACAGAACACGCACCGCTATAATGTGGAACATGCACTGCTATAACACAGAACACGCACCGGTATAACACAACACGCACCGCTATAACACAGAACACGCACCGCTATAACGCGGAACACGCACCGCTATAACACAGAACATGCACCGCTATAACACAGAACACGCACCGCTATAACGCGGAACACGCACCACTATAACACAGAACACGCACCGCTATAACGTGGAACACGCACCGCTATAACACAGAACACGCACCGCTATAACACAGAACACGCACCGCTATAACACAGAACACGCACCGCTATAACGTGGAACACGCACCGCTATAACACAGAACACGCACCGCTATAATGTGGAACATGCACTGCTATAACACAGAACACGCACCGCTATAATGTGGAACATGCACCGCTATAACACAGAACACGCACCGGTATAACACAACACGCACCGCTATAACACAGAACACGCACCGCTATAACGCGGAACACGCACCGCTATAACACAGAACATGCACCGCTATAACACAGAACACGCACCGCTATAACGCGGAACACGCACCGCTATAACACAGAACACGCACCGCTATAACGTGGAACACGCACCGCTATAACACAGAACACGCACCGCTATAATGTGGAACATGCACTGCTATAACAAAGAACACGCACCGGTATAACACAACACGCACCGCTATAACACAGAACACGCACCGCTATAACGCGGAACACGCACCGCTGTAACACAGAACACGCACCGCTATAACACAGAACACGCACCGCTATAACGCGGAACACGCACCGCTATAACACAGAACACGCACCGCTATAACGTGGAACACGCACCGCTATAACACAGAACACGCACCGCTATAACACAGAACACGCACCGCTATAACGCGGAACACGCACCGCTATAACACAGAACACGCACCGCTATAATGTGGAACACGCACCGCTATAACACAGAACACGCACCGCTATAATGTGGAACATGCACCGCTATAACACAGAACACGCACCGGTATAACACAACACGCACCGCTATAACACAGAACACGCACCGCTATAACGCGGAACACGCACCGCTATAACACAGAACACGCACCGCTATAACACAGAACACGCACCGCTATAACGCGGAACACGCACCACTATAACACAGAACACGCACCGCTATAACGTGGAACACGCACCGCTATAACACAGAACACGCACCGCTATAACACAGAACACGCACCGCTATAACACAGAACACGCACCGCTAAAACACAGAACACGCACCACTATAACATGGAACACGCACCGCTATAACACAGAACACGCACCGCTATAACGTGGAACACGCACCGCTATAACGTGGAACACGCACCGCTATAATCTGGAACACGCACCACTAACACAACACGCACCGCTATAATGTGGAACATGCACCGCTATAATCTGGAACACGCACCGCTATAACACAGAACACGCACCGCTATAATGTGGAACACGCACCGCTATAACACAGAACACGCACCGCTATAACACAGAACACGCACCGCTATAACACAGAACACGCACCGCTATAATCTGGAACACGCACCGCTATAACACAGAACACGCACTGCTATAACACAACACGCACCGCTATAACACAACACGCACTGCTATAACACAACATGCACCGCTATAACACAACACGCACCGGTATAACACAACACGCACCGCTATAATGTGGAACACGCACCGCTATGACCTGGAACACGCACCGCTATAACACGGAACACGCACCGCTATAACGTGGAACACGCACCGCTATAATCTGGAACACGCACCGCTATAACACAACACGCACCGCTATAACACAGAACATGCACCGCTATAACACGGAACACGCACCGCTATAACACGCACCGCTATAACATGGAACACGCACCACTATAATCTGGAACACACACCGCTATAACACAACACGCACCGCTATAACACAGAACACGCACCGCTATAACGTGGAACATGCACCGCTACAATCTGGAACACGCACCGCTATAACGTGGAACACGCACCGCTATAACGTGGAACACGCACCGCTATAACGTGGAATACGCACCGCTATAATCTGGAACACGCAACACTATAATGTGGAACACGCACCACTAACACAACACGCACCGCTATAACGTGGAACACGCACCACTAACACAACACGCACCACTATAATGTGGAACACGCACCACTAACACAACACGCACCGCTATAACACAACACACACCGCTATAACACAACACGCACCGCTATAACACAACACACACCACTATAACACACAACACACACCGCTATAACACAACACACACCGCTATAACACAACACACACCGCTATAACACAACACACACCACTATAACACAACACGCACCGCTATAACACAACACACACCGCTATAACACAACACACACCGCTATAACACAACACACACCGCTATAACACAACACACACGGCTATAACACAACACACACCGCTATAACAAAACACTCACCGCTATAACACAACACACACCACTATAACACAACACGGACCGCTATAACACAACACACACCGCTATAACACAACACACACCGCTATAAC